TTTTTGTAATTTTTGAGATTTTTCCGCAGATAGTCCATTTTTTAAAATTGGAGATTCGCTACAGAATCCCAAATCGTTGCAAGATTTGGTTTTCTGCTTGGAATGTGGTTTTCGTATTCAAACCCATCTCTGATTACAATCCATCCTGTAGTGGAAGGAGTGTCGTGACCTGAAAAAATCTTCTTCTTTCCTATAAGTCCAAGTCAAAGTGGCATTTGTGTTTAGTATTCTCTGAAACAACACATCCCCTTTCTACTACCTAATTCTACCAAAATCTGATTGAGGTCCATTTTTGCCGATCGACTGCCTTTAACATAGTCTCCCATATCCTTTTGGGAGGAATGGAACGGCCGGAAAGACGTAATAACTTTCTTGGGACGTATTAACTTCTTGGTTATTGGCTAGAAGGCCCTGTCAAATAGCTCAAGTCTGTTTCTTATTTCAGCTGTTTCTCGTTGCCATCTCGTCGTTATATTTTGGAGGCTATGATCGACTCCAAGATTCGTGTAGAGGCGGGTTATGGACTTCCCTGATTTCAAGGATAAGCTTAACGAGAGAGTATGAAATACAGTGCTAAATAGTGGAGGTTTAACAAGTTTGTCCTGAAAATCAGGGAAGTCCGCGACCCACCTCCACACGAATTTAGGAGTCGATGATACATTGCCCACAAAGATGCGTTTTACATAATTCTCAAAGTAATGTAAAAGTTCTGAAACTACATGAGATAACTTGCATGGGCAATTTCTGCCCATGGCACTGTCTACTTCGAGGGAAAGAATTTTTTTTTGAAAATTGCGAAATCTAACGGTACATCTACTAAGTTGACTAGTGACCCCAGCGACCTTGTGTGTTGCATGCCGGGGAGTGTGGTAGATTCACGCCTTCTGCATCGCAGTCAATGCATCTGTAAGATAGTTCAACGACGTGCTCCTCTCTGATGCAAAGGTGCTATCAGTGTCTATTATGCACACGTTGGGTTGAACCAGACTTCGCTACATGGGAACGCCCATAATCGGCCGCGGAACTGGTGCGGAAACTGAGTTGCGCCCAGCGCCAATCGATTGGAGCATGTTATCCTTCGCGCACTTGGAGTATCTAGACATAGCAGTCCTTCATAGTAACTTCCTCATTGTCTGTATCGTTGTGCGGCAACGATACAGCACAATGAGGTTGATGACTAAGTAATCACTTCGGAATGTGCACATTGTAACGCGACTTCAGCTTGTTCTGATCATTTTGTATTATCAAAAGCTTCGACTGTATACTGATGACTGTTATGCGCTTCAACGGTCTTGTTCACTCTTCAGAGATCATAGAAGCAGAATTGCTGCGTTCGTCGCAGCCTGATATGGCATTGCTTTAAGTTGCATGAGGTCGGATATGGATCACCTCCTCCTCAAAAAAGACGGTTGTGCTGTAGCGTCGTAGAATCGTCGGTCTAGTGAGACCTACATCATGTTTTCAGATAGTTTTTTTCTAACCATACATCTGACACATTACCATTTTATGGTCAATGGCAGTTGCCACTACCAAAATTTCATAACATAGGACTGGTGTAACAACGTACTTTTTTCCACATTTTCTTCGAAATTCGGAGTGAAATCTTTGAAGGCGATCTTAGCATAGAACAAACAAATTGAGCATGCCAGTACTACAGGTGTCACTGGCCTGCAGTACCGACGTGCTCAATGTTGCTAAGGCACGCAGTTGTCATTAGGGAAGGAACTTAGAATCTGCAGTAGGCAAGCATCAACTGCAAACGTCATGACCATTGTATGACGACCGGGTCCAGTTTGCAACGAGAAGAGGAAATTTTTGGCCTAGGGGTACCATCTATAGTGTCTTGAGCAACAGCATGTGCTGGCATTAGCCACACAGCAGAGATGATTTATAAATCTCCAGTGTGGAAAAGTTCTGATGGGGATCCTTGCCCAGCTATCTTATCTTGAAATGACTGACTAGCTATCAGAAAAGTCGGAGACGTGCCAACACATATAACTCTCGAAAGGATGTTCAGAGATGAAAACCGGGTCGGATTCCTACATGTTTAAGTTCGATTCTGTTCTAGGTGCTCACTGTATTCAAGGATGTCAATCTGTACTCGATGAGCATATTCTTCAAAAGTTTTTCTGAACCCGGCGGACATCTATAAAGTTACACCATATAGATATTTTGCAAGATAAACCTTTCCAAAACCTCCTTTTTACTGCAATCTATTCCATCTTGATTTCTCGGAGCAACTGTGAGACTGATGCTGAACTAGGACTGGATGTTCAAAGCCATAAACCGGGCTCGGTTCACGAATTGCAGCGTTTTTGACTCACGGACAAGCGCTGGCTCTTCTCAGCGCTCTCATGCCTTTTGCCGTTAGACCGTGCTTTTACCCGTAAAAGTTATGTAGAGAAGCAGCTATCTCCACAAGAACTCCCCAACTTTAACACCAGCACACAAACTCAATAATGCAAAGTGTCATGATTCGCTCGAGGTCATCAAGCTGTAAACTTGTTACGAAACTTCTTAAGTATTGACTGTAATCAATAACTGAGATGTTACAAGAAATCTTGTGGAGTAAAAGCAAAGACGATGTTCTATCGGAAACATCATACTCTGCTTACGTGATCCGGTACGCGGCAAACGTTGAGGGCCGTGGAGCGCGCCAGCGCAGCCCGTTGGCCATAACAGGCGGCCAGCTGATGAGGCCCAAATTTTCACATGTTTTTGTTGTCTAACATCGTTTTTGATGTTTTTTGACCAATAAAGTCTCATTTTCGTCACTTCTAATCCAAATTGGCGCGTGTTAACTTTTAGTTTGCGTCTGTTGAGTCAAGGTGTAATTGTTTGTGTTCTCAAAATATTGTCATTTTTCAATTCTCGCTCCCGCAATCAGATCTGCAAGAAAGATGGATGTACTTGGTCGAGAATTGATTGAGAATACGACTCAACAAATACTGCAGCTCGACCACGTGTTCTTGCAAACATGTTTTCTTCGTGGCGAAAGGGGCCTGAGGATGAAAAGAATATTGTACTATGGCTTAGTTGCGCCAATAAAGGAACTTTAAAGCATGGGCCTATATGTCATGCAGAAGCGAGGGACAGCCTTGCACAATCTGCGGTAGTGATACGTGACAACTAAAGCCGGTTTGAATTGATTTTTTCGCCTTTTCACTTCTTTTTTCAATTTGTCGAACTGTTACTCATCTGAGTCATACATTAGCATTTCTACGCAAAGTCTTATTGACTCTATTTGTTGAGTCGTATTCGCAATCAATTCTCGACCAAGTACATCCATCTTTCTTGCAGATCTGATTGCGGGAGCGAGAATTGAAAAATGACAATATTTTGAGAACACAAACAATTACACCTTGACTCAACAGACGCAAACTAAAAGTTATCACGCGCCAATTTGGATTAGAAGTGACGAAAATGAGACTTTATTGGTCAAAAAACATCAAAAACGATGTTAGAGAACAAAAACATGTGAAAACTGGGCCTCATCAGCTGGCTGCCTATTATGGCCAACGGGCTGCGCTGGCGCGCTCCACGGCCCTCAACGTTTGCCGCGTACCGGATCTCCGCGATATTGTGGCGTGCTGCACGCAACTATGGAAAGACTTTCTTTCGCTTCGAGTTTGCTCGCTCAATATGATCGAGCATGAAGCTTTGGTATAAAGGTACAGGGCCTACGCTCTAGGCCAGATCGCAGACCTCGTCGCGTCTAGGGTAGCTTAGTTTTCGCGCAAATGTCGTTGTCACCACAGAGGCACTACTCGGCATAAAGATCAGATATCATAAAGCTACCCTTTCGCTGTCTTTAGACTGCAGTCGGCAAACCTTCTTTGTCGCTCTCTCTATGATACTTTTATAATAAACGTGATTTGAACTAAGTGTGTGGGGCCTGTGGTTCTGAATCAAATTTAAAAGATTGACTTTGCTAACGATGTGATAATAGATGAGCGACTGCCTCTTACTCTCTTCTCATATCCTGCAGATCATCGTGATCATTTCGTGTAGGAAATGTTTTGTAAACCAATGACTTTTGCTGGTAATTGTGTAGTAAAGTAAGAAACCTGTAGTAAAGTGAGAAATCAATGAGAATTCCATAGTGTGGTGAATGTTCATCTCAAGGTTCAGTTATGTAGCAAATTTAGCTATCCCCATATCGGTTTTTTTATCCGATAATCAGCCACTTCATAGCTAACCCATTGAATTTTTACGAAATATTCAAATAGAGCTGGCATCCCGGGGTTCCACCCCGTTGTAGAGCCAGTCCATCTCGCTTGATCTCTCATGTAGCAAGATTTACCCTTCTTTTGATTCGACTGGTCTTGGGTTCGCTTGCTACCGTCCCTACCATATCTTGATGACCAGCAGAACAAAAAGAACTTCGCGACACATCCCTGATGACTATGGGAAATGTGCACAGACACACAGATTTTCTACTTCATATATAGAGAGTTTGGGATTTCAGACAAAGAAAGCTGGAAACGGAATCTTTTTCTAGAGTGTGCCCTTAGGAATTGAGGTTCTAGATATTTACTCACAAGGGAACCGTGTCGAGTCGAAGTGGCCTTTCCAAATGAGACTCATACTGCTTTAAAGAGTATTAAACGTTGATTCCAAATCTGCCAAGCGCCTCTGGACGCCGAGTTATGACCGTTCTTCGGAACGAAGAATGAATGCAAAATTGAGGTAAAATTGATTGTTACAATCTTTCCAGCGCTCAGATAAAGCAATGTTAAGTATTAGCATATTAAATAAAATGTATACTTTGCATAAACAGCTCTGATACTTGACACTGGACCATTTGAGCAAGTTTGGGCGATTTTGCTTATGATTCATGCAAGAAGTCTCTTCAGCAATGCTTTGCTGCTTACGGCCTTGGAAATGCGGCAGATGATGAGGCAAGTGGTCATACCTCGACTTGTAGAATCGTCAAAAGTTTTCTTATAGTTACAGCTGTAGTTTTTTGTTCTGCAATTATGACTTTGACTTAGCCAAACATGCATCGATTTGTTTTCCATTGGTCAAAAATTCATGATGGTGCTAACTTTAAGTCTCTAGTAATCTATAGATTTAAGCACGATTGGCGCAGTTCTGATAAGATTGTGCTCCTCACTTCCGAGTGGCATGCAAATATTAACAAAGTGGTTACATCTTATGATCTCAGCGCTGATGGTACACAGGGAGTAATTGCGTTGGTATCGAGAAAGCAGAATAGGTTATTAGCTGAGTCGAAAAACGAGGTAAGTCTGCTCTTGAGCTGCTCTAGTGAAATCGCTATATCTTTTAAAGTCCGATTATTTTCTCTCTCTTTTATCCATAAAGCCATCGTCAAAGGGAGCTGGATGAATTGACCGCATTGTTTTGCTCTTCATCATCTTCCCGCCCTATTGTAAGGCTTGTTCTTATTGCGTGCAACCCAAACACATTTATCTCATAATCTGTTCAAAGCCTGCCTCTTAAGGGTTCCTGATGAGACATACTTATTTCAAATCAGGCATGTCTATGAAAACGTAGGTTTCATTCGAAGAAAGTGACAATTTAATCTCATTTGCAGTTTGCTTCCATTGCAGGTTAACAAGGCTGATCGTGAAGGAGCGTTAGGAAATACACTGGCGTATATGTCCAAGTCCTTACATCCTGCTAATATAGCATCGACATTGAAAGAATTAGAAGGTGTGGAGGAACTGGTAGCTGCGTTTTCCGCAAACAAGGTAAACTTTCTATTCTGCGAGTTGCTCGAAACATCAGAAAACAGTGTGCTCATAGGAGGAATACAATGTTCAAATGGCGCAGGTCGAAAATGCTGTCAAGAAGAGGATGTCTACTAGTAAATGAGATGTGGTGGACAATAGTTGCAAAATTCCTTTAGTGTGCGTTTGCCGCTTATGCATAATTTGAAGTCAATCCGTCTATGTGCGTATGTATGTGCAAACGCAATAAAGCTTACTCTATGAGGATGGAGGAAGAAATTCGAGATCGTTGGACGCCACGCAGTAGTTATTCCGCCTGGAAAACAGCTACGATTTCGATGTAAAATTGAAGGGTGCCTGAAGAACAAGTTCCCATTGTTTCTGTAGTGGAACATGCTGCAGCACATTCGCTCGACAAAAGGCTCAGATCGTGTTTTCAACTACTACTGCAGAAAGTGCGGATTACGTTTTTTTTGAAAGGGATATGTTTGGGATGTAAATGCAACGCGAGAGGGGGCGGAGGGTTCATACCGCTCAAGAGTGGAATCACTCTCCAAGACATGCAGCGAGAAGCGAGCTTTTTTGCGTTTGCACATAAATGGATAGTACGTGTGATGGATGACATACGGGTGCACTACCTGTGGATTCGGTCGGATCTCGAACATCAGCGAGTACGGATGCAGCTGAAGTCAAGGAACATGGAGCAAATCCAATCCCTCAAGGTAGTTGGCATGTGCTTGAAAGGACTCTATGAGAATGGAGGAAGCAAATCGGGGTCGTTGGACGCCAACGCAATAGTTATTCCGCCTGGAAAACAGCTACGATTTTGATTTAAACTTGAAGGGTGCCTGAAGAACAAGAGTTTTTCCATTGTTTCTGTCTTTTGGGTGGAAAGGAATTGGGGAAAGGCGGATGAGTTTGCTCAACGAACTCACGAAGGATAGTAAAGCGCAAGTTTGCAAAGCGCAAACTGGAAAGCTGGGAGGAAGCGGTTAAAAATTTGTTGACAATTTTGTCAACAAATTTACTTAGGAAACCACATAAAGCAGGAAAGATTTAACTTTGATAATCTCTGGGTTTCGTTGAATGCCCGAAAAATTCATGTCATACTTTTGGCGAGAAAAGTCTCCACGTTTTAACTGACAGTCACATCCCACTTCATACAAGCCAGTCCAAAGCGCCGCTTCGCGGCGCTTTGGACTGGTGCTTAATTATGAGGTTATTTGAACCTTTATAAGATAGGTGTGAAAGAAGAATAAAGATACTCAAAGTAGCAAGACATGACGCCTCCCTTTTCAGATCCTCTCCGTCCCCAGCAGGGATGTATTTACGTGCATGTACATGGCCCTTAGGGTAGTGTCCTGCCATATGCTCATCAGTTGGGGTGTGAAATTTTCATAACATAGAGAGACAAGAAAGCATACAGATATTTGAGGCAGTAAGATATGACGCGCTTCTTCTCAGTTCCCCTCCCCTCACCATCTTGGATATATATGCACACGGGCCTAAAGAAGAATTCGGGGGCGAGACATTGTAGTCTTGGATACTTTAGCTGGGAAGGGTTTGGTGGAAATACAAAGAGTGGCAAGCAGCAAAGGAAGTTCTAGGTTGAAGGCAGTGGGAGCCATCGCGGTTTCGGCGTGTAGTTGGAAGAAAGGCGTAAGATGTGGAATGCCCTTAGGCTGGGTAGGAATGGAGGGTGAGGGAGTTATTAAGCAACCTTGCTGAAAGCTCATCAAAAAGTGGTTTCAAAAAGGGGTCTTGGACAAGAACAGTTTTAGGAGAAGCTGTGGGCAATATACAGGGTGTCCCAAAAGTATGTATCGAACGTTTGATCGTTAATATCTCTCTTCCCAAGAAGTCTTTTGCCTTGCTTCAAGTACCATTTTGTAGAGCTAGCTTCAACTTAGATTTGCATTATAGAACGAATCACTCATTCCTCTTCATTACTGTAGGATTACGGTAGAAACTTCAAAGAGGGTTTTAAGCAATGAAAGGCCATATTTTGCCTTAGAAAGGAAATAAAACAGCCTGAAAGTTTTCACACTAGGCTAATTAGAGTTGCTGATTATAACTGTAAAGTTCCCAACTTATTATGATGCTTCATTGAGGAGTTATGCCAGGTAAGAGGTAGCGGCCATTTTTTCAATGTTCCTAAAAAGTGCGATTACACCGTTTAGAAAGCTTTGTAATCTTGTGAATAGTTGAGTATTGAACTCAGCATCCATAAAAACCCTATTACACAAGTTTTCACAATTTTTTGAAGAATTTTGGAACTGCAGCTTTTTCCACATTGACACCATATGTTTCAAGTTTCTACCGTAATCCTACAGTAATGAAGAGAGATGGGTGATTCGTTCTTTAATGCAAATCTAAGTTGAAGCCAGCTCTACAAAATGGTACTTGAAGCAAGGCAAAAGACTTCTTGGGAAGAGAGATATTAACGATCAAACGTTCGATACATACTTTTGGGACACCCTATATGTTAAAGACCAGATCTGGGATATTTTAGGTATTTAATGATTTCATTAGGTGACTCCCTTATCAGGCCGTTATCAACCTCATTAGATATTCTTTTTTTCTATTCTTCTATTTACTCACTTCTTTTCTTATATTCTATTCTTATTCTTCTATTATTATTTTTTTAGTCTTTATTCGATATTCGTCCATTCGATGAGAATTTCCGTTCGTTACAACTATACAGGATAGTTTAATTACCAAGTCTAAGGCTCACATATACTCCCCGTGAAAAAGCAGCGGCAGCCTTTGGATGAACGACTATTTCACCGTGGACAAGCTGTGAAAATTAGCATTGCTTGAGGGTGCAAGCAGGTGAGCTGTGAAAAGCATATTGCTTCAGCAGGGAGGTCACCGATGAAAACACCTCCACGCCAGAAGGACAGGGGGCAGAATCGTCTGCTCAGTGATGAATCCCCTACCACTTCTACGGAAGGAGGAAGAACTCCGAGATCTCTGGATTTTACTAGTAAGATCCTTGCGTCAAGGCTTTTTTATAGAACAAATCGGATTCCTGAATGTGAACACATTCTCAGGGGAGATTCATAAAGTTGAGAAAGACTCCATCAGAAAGCTAAGATTGGAGGAATTGGTAGTTGCTTTGAATTTCATCGAGAAATGTGAACCAGGACAAACAGTTCAGGCAGCCGACCGCGATGAGGCCATCACCATGATAAAAGTGACGATGTCGAAGATCTCGAAGATCTGGTGGAGACTCCGAGTTCAGAGAGCAGCGCTTTACACGATGAGAATTCGGCGCAACAGGAGATTGAAGACCAAGGGTAGTAGCAACTATGGAAGGGACCATATTTCTCTGCTCTACTGAGCATCAGCGCTATAATGCAGCATATTACGCACTAATGCAGACAACATTTCCAATCCCGCGAAAACGCAGTTTCCGAATATTTTGGAGTTTCAAATTCAGGATTCTTGTTGTGGTTGCTTATTCAGAAACTATGGTGAAAGAACACGCAGCTTACTCTCGCGAAGATGAAACCCGCATGTGAATGTACTTGTATGAGTGAGTGTTTTCAAAATTCAATACTTAGCTTTCGCACAGCAAAACTTTAGACAACTGCGAAGCGGAGTGTCTGCTGGATGCCAACCCAAAGGTCTTGAAATTTGGAAAATATGCGCTTGAAGACTATCCGTTGTCCCTCCCTCGTCAAGCGCATACATTTTCCAAATTTCAAGACCTTTGGGTTGCCATGCAGAGACACTCCGCTTCGCAGTTGTGTAAAGTATTTTTTTAGCTTTCACAGTTCTTCTTTTCAGGTTCCGTAGAAATATGATAAACAGGCTTTATGATGCAAATCTTCCTTGTCATGTCATGATATGTAGGTGGTTATGCTACTAGCACGGCATGACATTTGTTAACTTTCAGGAGCTAAAGTGTGCATCCAATGCAAAACATATATGCTGATTATCAAAGAATTGATGTGCTTATTCAAAAGGAATGTGTTAAGCAAAAGATATGACTGTATCAGAAATGAAGAAAGCGACGATTCCGTTTTGTGAAGGACTGATCACATATGCGCGTAGACATCACTGTCCCGCAGTTATTCGTTATTTCATTCTAATAGGTACAATTACCCAAGTTTAACTTATCTCGCTTTGCTTCCGATGAAATGCGATTCTTGGAAATTAAAGATTGTTTGAAGGTGCACGCAGCAAACAACACCGAGGCATTTCCGAAGCAAATTGAACGTCCGGTGATGAAAGACCAAGCATCAAGGTTGGGATTGGGAGGAAAAAAGCCTTTGGAAGACATCTCGAAGGACTGACACTGATTGAGAAAGGGCAGCTCCACTGAAGGATTAGAAGTTTTTACCGTACAACTACCACTGTAGGACATCAACAAAGTGAATGTTATTATTTGAGTAGCAAGTGGAACTTATAGGACAATATAAATTATACGTCATAAGAATACGCGTTAACAAACTCTTTAGCCTTTTGCAATGCTCAGAACTCTAAACGAGCAGCTTTGCTATTGGTTATTGTTATCATTGCTTACAAATAGTATTCATAGTCCTAGAGCGCGAGATCAACTCGTATTACAGTAGCTACATAGAATATAGAAAATACAGCGTGAAGCGGGGAAAATATTGCCAGAATCACGATGACAGAAAGAGAAGTTCGTCGAGACAATGAGAATGCCCCGTATTTTCGTGATAAGCAGAGAGAAATTAGTAAACTGCACGCTGTCAGTGACCATAAACTCAAATCTACTAAAGTTTGAAAGTGACTTGAAGATTATACACTGACCTCAGTGTTACGAGGCATAGAAATGTCCGAGCTGAGCATAAACCACTATGAATCTGAATTAAACTAAAAAGGTTTGTAGAAAACATCTCCGATTAGAAGATATGGGAGTAGATGAAAAAAATAGAGAATAGAGGATTTCGAATTTATGCCAGCGCTGAGGGCAAAATGATGCCGAAAGTGAGGTTGACCATAAAGAAAAGCAGCTCACTATAGATAAGCAATAAGTTTAAAAAAATTATGCAATCACATGATTGGGTAATACGTAAACACAATGTAATGTGACAACTTTGTGAAGCAAGGAAATCTTGCAAGAAATGACTTCAATTTCATTGTTCAAAAGACTTTTGCACAAAGGGCAGGTCA